ACGGCTGTTTTCTTATCTACTACAGAGAAGGAACAAATTGTTTCCTTCCTGTGAAGGCTGACAAGAAGAAGATTGTTATAAGCATTCAAAAACGACATAACTGTCCTTTCTTCCACTCCCTAATCATCTGGTAATTCTTGCAGGGGGTACTAAACATTTTCCAGACACAGCACCTAATATGCCTGTCTTGAATTATGGAGCCCAAAGATCAGATGTGACTCTTCAGCAGAAGGATCAGTCCTGCACAATAATGCCATTTATTCTGTGGGCAGTTTTCAGAGGTTTGTCACCATTGAACAATGTCAAACCTGTGATTTCAAACAACTGCTTTTGCTCCGTGAAATCTCTACCACATCTATTGTTCCATTCTACAGCTGAGTCTACACCTGCTTCTTCAATAAGTATCTGCACCTATTGAAGTCAATTTTCAATTGCACCTTCAGCTTGACAAGACTGACTTTTGTTCTCATCCTCCAGCCTAACTTCACTTTCTTCTAGATTCATTTCACAGGCATCATGCCTCTCACACCTACATTTCCAGCTGGGGATTTCCACATGGCTCTGAAACGTGTTCTAAAGACATTCTTATCACTTTCCATCATAAGTTGTCCATGGTGGCACTCAAACTCACAGGCCATTTAACTTCCTATATTCCTTTCTTAGCAGATGCCTGGAGAGTTGACATCCATGATTCAGAGAATCATAGAATAGTTTGGGTTGGAAGGGAATCTTTAAAGATCCTCTAGTCAAACCTCAAACCGACCAGCTCATATACTTTGGAGCTTTTGCTTGTTGCTATTGAAAAGGCAAGACAGTCTGACCTTCCTCCACACTGTGGTGTCATGGGATCAGGATTTTGTTTCACCCCTTTTTTTGCAGTACAATTTTGAGGAACTCTAATAGGTCTACCTTCCACCGTGATCTTTTTGAGCACACAGCTCAACACACCATTCCAACATGGAGGGTAACACCCCTGCATTCATTTCCTTGCCTGCTCTTTATGGAAAGCTGTTCCTCTCATGGTTATTCCAGTTGCTGGAGTAACTCCCCAGTTCTGGCACTTTTGTTATGATTCACTGATGTGTGTCAGCAGCTTTTTTCTGCCAAGAAAGCTGCACAACAGCAGCATAAATAGGGCCATGCACTTCTCCTCCTTGATGAGCTCATCTCCTGCATTCCCTGAGCCCTGCTTTGCCAGGCAGAGGTTGGGCAGCTTGGACAAGGCTGTTTCAGCTGCCCTGACAGGTGTGGGTGAACTTCTCATGCACTTCAGCATCCTCCCACGTTCCGGGAGGAACTGGCCAATTTGTGCAATATAGAAACAACAGGGCAAGAGAGGCAGGCAAGGGAAGGGCAGAAGGAAAAGGCTTCCTTCCTCCCTGTTTTACACTGGAAGAACAGGTTTATTTAATTGTATTTTAATTTACAAGAATTAGGCTGTAATTTTGTGGGGTGCAACACAGAGCCTGCACCTGGAAATGCTTGAGGAAGGTATTTTAAGGATTAGGTAGCACCACTGTCTGTGGACAGAGGGAGGAAGAGGCAAGTTAATTTTAGGCAGTTCAGAAAGATGGGGATTTCAGCTTCAAAACAGATATCAGATTCCTCTGAAACTTGCTGTACTTTGTGTTTCCAAAGGTACAGTGTTACTAAAACTGGTTTTGGGTAGAAGGATGTGCCACAAAGAAGCAGTTTTCCAGCAGCACAGCATTAGATGGTCACCCTGCCCACACACTCACCCATCTCCCTCAAGCACCACCACCTCTGAGTTTTGACTTACTGCCAAAACCAAATGAGTCAGAGTGTTACTAGGGCCTGCCTGGCTGCTGGATAGCCATGGTGTTCTGCAGAGATACTGAGGAGGAGGAACGGGAAGACTCTCACTCACTTTTGCCCCAGCACACCATGTCTGAGGAGATCCTCAATAGGAGCTGAACTCAACCTAACCTAATCCAACCAAACAGAAACTTGCAGGAATGGTCAATGACCATGGAGAACCAGGACTTCACTGTTACATTTCTTTTTAGAGCAAAAAGCTTGTTCTCACCTTAAGATTTTGTTTTAGAAATTAACTATGGCCTGGAAGTTTGATACCATAGATTAATGATTTATTTCTACTCAGCAGCATCATGAATCTAGTCAGCTAATTTTTTCACAAAGATTAGTTCAATGGCAGAGGTCTGTTCTGAGATGCACAGAGCAGTAAGGCTTCTGGAATATAAACATAGTAACACCATACCATTTTCAGACAACTAAACTATTTTAATCTCTTACAATCAGGCACCAGCAGAGGGTGAAGTGACTTCTTTGCCAGCAGATATTTCCAGGACTCGAGTCAAAGAGCAGTTTCCTAGGGTAGTGCTGAATAGAGCTTTGGGTTAAGTACCATCACATAAATAAAAGTGCCTTGTCCATGCACTCCCACAAAGCACAGACCCCTGTAAGGAGGAAGGGATGTGTTCAAATTGCAGCTGTGGCCGTGGAGAGGCACATGGGAGGACAGCTCAGCAGCCAGCCCATTCCTGGGAGGAGAGCTGCAAATAAGGTATTCTTTGTTCTCTTGCTGCCTCATTATTAGTTGCAATTAATGCAAGCCATGCCGATGTCAGCTCTGTTTCTGATGGGGAAGCACACAGGGAGTCCAGCATGTAACCTGATGGTGCCAAGTGCTGCTCCAAGGCTGGATCTCCCACCCCACTGAATGAGACACTCTGTGGCTGCAGCCCCCTTGGCACTCTCCCAGCCAGCAGGGCTTGGCACAGCTCTGGGAACACTTTTTGGCAGGTGCTTGCAAGCTTTAGAGCATTTCAGTCTGTCCCAATCCAAAATTCACCCTGGCACCTCACACGTGCAGGTGACATGGCTGTGAGCTGCCCTTCTCTAAGGACTCCCTTCCCCTCACTGAACCTTTCTTTCAATCTTTTGCTTGCTCTGCCTTTTGCTTCAGCCACAGATCCCGGTGGGTGGGCTGTGTATTTGCCAGGGAGCAGATTCCTCACTGCTAATGCCCCTTTCCACTGCAAACATCCAGGCTTTGCTCTTGTGGCACAACTGAGGTGTCTGACACTGACTCCTCCTGTAAAATGAAGCACCCCAACATTCTCACTTCTCAAAGGGGAATGGCAATGGGGAACGCTAAAGGCACTACACCTCAAGCTGGTTGACTTAAGAAAGCAGTCATAATTCCATCCAGTGGAGCAAGCTGCAAAGGGGATAAAAAATGACCTGGCCTGGGGTGATAGTGACCAATTCCTGTGTGCCAGAACCCAGAGGCTCAGGGAACCCTAGTAAGAGAGGCTTGCAACTGCCAGCTGTCTTCAAAAGGGAGGACTAAACATATCTAGCAATAAATATTCAAAAATTTAGTAATAAAATAAATAAATCTGCAATTTAGCTCCACATTAAAGCATTTACAGTCCTCTACATCTATACCAATGGCAGTTTACCTTGGGAAAGTAAATTATAGGTGCTATCCAAACTGGACTGATATGAAATCCTTTAAAGAAGGAAAGTGAACAGGCATTTTAAATTAAAATTTCATGGTTTAGACAATACTACCTGTACCCTCTAGACCTCAGATTTACTTCCATAGCAATCATTAGTCACCTTCCACTGCCCAGACGACCCATACACATTCCCTGCAGAGCATAAAAATGAGATAAATTGAAAGAACTGGCTGTCCAAAGGAATATTCCAGAACACATTTTCTCCTGCTTCTTGTCTGTTAAATCTAGTCCTGTTCTCCAGAGAGCCAAATGAGAAAAACGACAGCAGATTAACTTTTATTATTCTGGTTGATATCTGAACTAATGGCCCAAGACATTCAGCAGAATTATAAAGCAGTAAGTGGCTCAACTCCAAGCACTGGAATTAATCTTAGGATCCTGACAGCTCCTCATTATGCGGTCCAGTGGCCTCCAAAAAGATGACTCAGACTGTGAGCCAGGAGGCACTGAGTCATGAAGCATATCATCATCATCATCGGTGTAAGGACCTGGACTGGCAGCACAGCCCCTTACAGGTGTGTGCCCCTGTGCCAGCACTCACTCTCTCAGCAGCAGGCACCACACAGGATATCTATTGCAATCAGCAATAAATCACAAACTTTTGTTAGCTTCAGGTGTTTCTGCAGCAAGATCCTGAAGATGAGATGATAACAAACAGCACACACCTGCCTTTGCAGCCTGCTCTCCAGAGGGGATGCAAGGCTGCTCCCTGAGGAGAGGCAAACCCAGTGCTAAGAGATTCTCACAGGGTTGCCACACACTACCTGAATCTTGGATGTGACTCTGTCATCTTCCAAAGGACCATCACTCAGGACTGGCCAAAACCCTCCAATGAAACCATCTCATTCATAGAGATTAACACTGTCTCTCACCGGCTGCTAAAACCTCAAACCAAGAGCTGGACACGTGCAGGATGGTCCAGCTCCCTCGGCAGCCCTGCCAGGCAGGGGACACGTGCACACAGAGTACCAGAGCACAGGAGTGATGCTGGGCAACCCGAGCCTTGTGCTCAGCCCATTGAAACTGGAAACTGAGTCTCATGTTTCCCCAGCTGCAGCTCCAAACTGAGGAGCTTCCAAAAGTTCAGCTGTATTCTCTAGGGAGATAAAGTGTTAGCACTTGAAGCAGAAATGCCTTGCTGCCTATTCTCTTAGCAGTGCTCGTGGGCTTTTTTCACAAGGGTTTGCCTGTCCTGCTGAACCCACCTTAGCTACCACTAAATTACTGCTGCATGGATAGGGAAACAACATGAAACAAAGTAAGCCTGCAAAACAATTTAAAAAGAAAAAGCAAGATTCCAAAGCAGATGCAAAAATCTATTGCAAGGGCCCATCACAGAAGAAAGACCTTGACTCAGGCTCTAGAGCAAGCATGCTTCAAATTACCAGCCATCCCATCACAGCAAAAACAGTGTTTTCATCTATATCCTGCAAGTAAGTGACCATATTTTTGGGGACTGTAATAATCTGAGCTAGATGTGCAGTTTGTACCTACCTTCTCTGTTTCTGTCACCATCACCGGGCAGTTATCCTGATTATTATCCTCCTCACCTACAGCATGAGCAAGAACCACTGAACATCAGCAGGCAGTTTGTAAACATTGCACCAGTTTGGAGCAGTCCTGACAGTTAAGGAATAACTACTGTGTAAACATGAACTATACTCTCTCAAAGGCAGGAAGACAGATCTCAAAATGATAAAGCATCTGGGAAAGGAAGAACGGAGAAAGACAAACAAATCTCTACAAAGAATTTTGAATAGAAGGCTAGTTTTTTCCTTTGTACCCTTTCATTCAGGCTATCAATTTCAGGAGCAAAAGTCCACCAGGAGATTAGAGATAAGCAAAGCTCCACTTTTTATATATATATGGCTTTTATTTGGCCACTCACAGAACACCAACTTCAGGCAGTAAGTTGGTGTTTTTAAGAGCACAGCTTGAGGATTTCCTACAAAGCATCGGGAAAAGATACCTTTTAGCTGTTCCAGAAATAAATTCCTTGTGAAACAAACTAATAAGAGAAAGCAGTACAGAAAAGAAATTAGTATTAGCCAGAGACAGGATAATTACAAGAAGTTGCTCTCTTGTCTTCTGTAGTAATAAACCCAGACAGTTTCTCCACTAAAAGCCCATAGATAAAATATCTACTCCAAGCCAGGACATAAACCCAGTTAATGTTCTGGTCTAGCACCATTCTGTATCATCCACAGACATCGAAGTTTGCATTTGAGGTATTAAAAAGTGATTCTAAATGATCTGCTAACCAAGGAACATCAAGAACATGAGCTATGTGACTGATTCATTATTTAAGAAACACATGCAGCCACAGCTGTCACATCTAGGCATTTCATTCCTTGTCTCATCTCATGGCATCTCCTGTGGGGCAGGCAGGACTGATTTACAAAGATTCAGACACTCAGCCACTCATGCTGCTGCTGGCCACTGTAATCAGTCCTTGTGGCTTTTTTTTCTTAAACACACATTTAAATCTCCAGGTTATACATAAATGAAGATGCTGAATCGCAAGCAGCACTGCTGGCACAAACGTATGTAATAATTAAAAGCCTCCTTCTTCCAGAGGAAGAGCTGTTCTGTCTTTTTAGCCCTTTGAGACATCCTCTCTCCTCTCCATGCAGTATGGCATCTTCCCCTACCAGGTGTGTCCATCCCCTCCCGAACTACCAGCCCTCAGTTCCTTCTCCCCAGAGCCTCTCCAGCTGGGCCACCCTGGCATATCCAGCCCATGTCAGATGTGCCTCCAGCTGGCACTGGAGGAAGGGGAGATGTCCTGGAGACATGGAGCTGTGGCAGTCCCATTGTCCAATAAGCCATTCACATCTTCTTCACTGCATGCAATATGCTCTGTTTTTACAGGTATAGCCTAGTGGTTGTCAAGAACTTACACAGGAGAACCTTTAAGTCAGTTGCATCAGTAAAGACAAAGCAGTGTGAAAGTTACTGCCTTGTAGAAATCAACTGTCCTGATGACAAGGACTTGGAAACTCCCAAGTTTCAGGAAGGGATGGATAGGCACAGAGCCACACAAGGCTCCAGGAGGGAGATGCAAAAGCAGCACTTCAGCACCTTTCTGCAAACGCCTGCAGCTGGCAGCAAGGAAATGCCACTGTCCATAGAGAATTCATGGCCAAGGAATTTGCTATGCAAATGAGACTCCTAAACCTGCTTATTTGCAGATAAATCAGGGTAATCCCAAGTCATTTAGCAACAAAGCAGGGGGTCTGAGTCTTAGCCTAAGGTAGATCCAGATTTACTTTTCCCATATCAGGTTGCAGAAGACCCTCCTTGTAAAAATGGACTTTTCACTTCCAGTTTCGATAAAAAGGAACAGAGAGAGCCTGTCTTTGTAATTCTACCACTTCACTGAAACACTGTTCAATCTATTACTCCCATCTTCATTTTGGGGTGTTTGAACCCAAGTTTCACGTTTCAGAAGCAAATGTCAGAATTCTGTGGAAATAAACCTTCCTGCTTCTACCTCCAAGTTTCACGGAATCTCCCCCAGAACGCATTCATCCTTCACATAAAGGTAATTGTGCCTTACTTCATGAAACCCAAAGCAATTGCTCAAGGTGAACAGCTGCATTCATGGAGCATTAACTTGGACAAGATTTTAGTATCAACACTGCTACATGAACTACGTCACTGTTCAAAAGAAAGCAGTGATAATAAATCTTTTAGTGAATAATCTGTATAGTTTACCCAAAATAGAGCTTACTGTAGTTCAGAAGTGAACAGACTGAACTACATCTAATCGAGAAAGAATCAAGAAGCAGGTAAGGAAGAATTTTAGATGCTTGAAATGGGAAGCTAAGCACTGGATGTGGAAAAGGGAAGAGTAAAATAGTATGGAAGGGAAGGAGAGGTAGAGTTGTGACATTCATGGCTGGTCCATGAATGGTTTATGTTGCAGGTAGAGTGTGGAAACCCATTATCACACCTGCTTTCCAAAAGGCACCACAAAGCGATCTGCTAATGAATCCAAGTCATTACAGTAGGAGAAAAAGCAGGTCGTCCGACCTGTACACATGGGTTGCATCATGCCTTTCCCTGTTCCCTTCTGATACACAGGGGAATTACAGACCGCGCCGGGAAACGCCGCGACCTGCCTGGCCAGCGGGAAGCGGAGGAGCTGAGCCTGTCTCCATCAGCACCTCGGCTGCAATCAGCAGGGCTGAGCCGCTCGGAGCGCACACCGGGCGGCAGGGGCCGGCTCGGGCACAGCCATGCAGAGCGCAGTGGCCGGGGACAGGCGGCAGGTGCGCCCCGCACGGAGAGACACCCGCGGGGAGCAGAGCTGCTCCTTCCCAGCCGCATCCCGGGGCCAGGCTGCGGTGCCCTCCAGGCCCTTCTGCAGGCAACTCCGCTCGCACCGACCGCCCCATCCCGGGGGAGCGCGGAGATCCCAAAGACGCCTCCCCTGCGGGGCCGGGATGCAGCCGGGCTGCGGCAGCGCACAGCGCTCCCCGCCCGCAGCCAGAGCCCTTTTCCCTCCTCCCGGCCCGGCCCGGGCAGGCGGCGGGATGCGAGGGGACCCTCCGGGGGCGGCTCTGCTGAGTCACAGCCGCCCCCCCGCACTCACTCACTCACCTGCGGGCCGGGGACAGCGCGGCCGGAGCCGGCCGGGCAGCGCAGCGCGGCCGCTCCATTGCGGGCACCGCGCTCCCGGAGCCCGTCCGCGGGGTCGCCGCTGCCGCCGCCCTCCTCGCCGGCGGGGAAGAGCCCGCAGGAGCGCTGGAAGCGCGCCACGGGCTGGGAGCTGCGCAGGGTGCCCAGCAGGCGGGCCATGCTGCCGCCAGCTCCGCGCAGCGCGGCCGCAGCGCGCCCCGCCGGCCGCGGGGCCGCGGGCAGGTGCGATGGTCCCGCCCCGCCCCTCCCGTACAGGTGCGATGGTCCCGCCCCTCCCGTACAGGTGCGATGGTCCCGCCCCGCCCCTCCCGTACAGGTGCGATGGTCCCGCCCCGCCCCTCCCGCCCAGGTGCGCCGCCCCGCCCGGGAGCGCCCCTTGCCGGCCGGGCCCTGCGCTTCCCCTCCCCGGATCCCAGCCCCGCGGTCCACCTGGGGAGGACAGGACATTCAGTGTGTTCCTTTTCTTTGGTGTTTTTCCTGCTAGGATGTTTTTCCTGCTGTCTTCTTCACGTGAAGATAGAATGCCCTGAATCACACCAAGATCTTTGGGAAAAACACTTAGGCGTGGATGCTATGCTGCATGGGCTCATCTTCTGTCAATTAATCTCATGGTTGTAAAATACACCTTGACTTGTCCCCGGTTTCATCTTGTCCAGTTTTGGAATTAGCTTTTATTTCTTCTTCCAAATATTTGCACACCTACATTGTATATATCACATGTACACGTATACCTATAAGGATAGCTCTCTTAATATTTTCTCCATTAAATACAGCTATGAAGTTTCCTAGAGAAAAAGAGGAGTTATCTCTTGGAAGATGCCCCTCAAGTTCTGGGGCTGCAAATCTTGCCACAGGTGATCCCTGCTGATTCCTACTTCTGAAACTTTTAGCATCTTGGTTCCATCAATGCCCATTTCTATTCCCAAGAATATATTTTGTAAAAGGATTGCACAATCATCATTTGCTCAACATAGACTCGTTTAAAGTTTGTTGCTTTTTTTTATTCTCAAATACCCCAAATTATGCAAGATTGCATCAAGGCTTTTTTTTCCAGAGCACTTGGAAAACAAAGCCATGTTCCTTTGCTTTTTAGCCAGTCAGTGTGTCCCTGTGGCAGTTTGGGCTGTCTGTAGGAGATGCTCACCCAGATCCCATGAGTGCCACTGCTCTCGATATGGCAGAGTCATCTCATCATCCTGCCTGGGCTGGGCCAGGCCAGCCCATGGCCACGGGCCACATGGCCTCTGTGAGGAATCCCAGGGACAGCTCTTCATCACTCCCATCCACACTCCAGGGCAGACTCCATGGATGTCATCTAATTGTTTATGTGATTCATTTTCTTTTGTCTTTTCCAAACGCAATCTCCTATCAGTAGAGGTTTGCCCAACCTCCAGGTGACATCACGTGTGGGTGCTTTCCTCACTGCTGGTGTGTGCACACACTCAGCCCTGGCCATGATGACAGGGCTCCCCTGCCAGCAGAACCAGCTCACAGCGACTGAGGAGGGAGCCAGCCTGTGCAGGTTATGTGTTTGTACGCTTTTACTTGGGGGAATTATTTATTGTTTGCCTCTGGGTTTGTTTCTTAACAGTTGTAAAATTTAAAAGGTGCACTCATAAGTATCTGGGAAATATTTTACTTTTTCCTGTTCCTTGGATGTGTGAAAAATCTACAGGAATTTTAACTTATATTACTTAATTCCTTCTACATAGACTGACTTCAGTAAGGCTCAATGTGTTCAAATCATAGTCCCCTAGTCCCTTCATGGTTATTTTTACTGTGTTGCAGACAGAGTCTTCAAAACTATTTCATTCTTATTTTGTCCACCTGTACGTCAACATGTACGAAAATCTGTAACGTGTTAATTTGAAGAGTAAAATTACACCCCTGCTGGTGCAGCTGGGAGCCTTGCCACTGATGGCAGTGGGATAGGATCTCATCCAGGGACACAGTGGAAAGCGGGAAGGCAGGAATGAAAGTGCACGGCTGGGGCCAGCCCTGGTGGGTATCTTAAAACATGTCTTTGTCAACCACAAGTCAATATTTATCTGATCTGCCTACATAGTTATGTCATTATAATATTTCCCAGGTATTAAAGTAGAGCTAAGCGTTCACAGCCAACTTCTCCCTAATTCCTCTTCAGGTGCACACTTAGGTTAGTGGGTGTGTGTCTCAGTGAGGATGTCAGCATCCAGCTGGGGAGAGTTCAGGTTTCATTAATCAAAGTTACTCTAAACTTAATAGAGAGAAAAAATAAGGGCAAAATTTCTATTTATTGTTAATTTTAATATACCTTGCCCATGTCTTGGAATCAACATGGATGATTACAAGCACTACATGAGCTGATAATTGAAGTTTGTGACCCTTTTTTTGCTGTGGAAAGTGAAGGGATTTGTGGGAGTTATGTTCCCAATACAGACTGATGTCTGGAGTGAAGGAAACTTTTCAAGTCCATTTTCATAGAATTCTAGAATATCCTGACGTGGAAGGGACTCAGAGGGATCATCATACTTTTGCTCAAAGCAAGAATGAATCAATCATTTTCTATTCCCTTTATGAAACAATGTGCTAATGGCCTTTTCCTGAGACCTATCTCCCATTACTCCTGATGGGCAAGAAAAATACTCAGGATTTGGCTCCTTGAAAGACTTGCAGCAGAAAAAACTCCCCAAATTTAACAATTAAAAAGAAAAATTCAAGAACTGTCCCACACTTTGTGTGGCCCATACAGATTTCCAGAGATTTAGAAAGGCAACTTTCTGTAAAACCAGTGGAACCAATGTCACTGCAAAAGAGTAGATTAGTGGAATTCTGAGACTGTTTAAAAGAAGTTATTTATAAACTGTCCAGTAGCAAAAAAAAACCAAAAACCCAAAAAACTTTTAAAGCTTTATTTAGTGAAACTGCCTCATCCAGAGCCAAAATATCTCACTAATAGCTGGTCAGTATTTAGCTACATTTTCACAAGGGAAGAAAATCACCCCTGGGCTGAGGAAAAGCATGAAAGATGAGAATACAAAGGATTACTTTTGAGAAAGCTGAGAATAGTGCCTTGTGCTGAAGGCATTTCCTCAACAACAACGGGTGTCATTGTCATGATGGTGGATAATTTTGCCTTCAGCATCAACAAAGTTAAGAGTGAAGTACAAATTCCAGGGCTGGGGGTGGATGATGATGCTAGGAGAGCACAGCTCAGTTTTCAGATGTCAGCCTGAGTTTGCAATCCTGACAGCCAGATAAGCCTTGTTTTCCCTCATAAACTGAGGGAATGGGTCTGGAGGAGCAAAATACAAGCACAGCTTTTACTGTCACTCCACAGACAGCAACCACATTTCACTGTGCAAGATCACACTCACGAGTTACTTGAGCTGAGATGCCTCTGAGGAGGCTGTGGTTATTAGTTACAAACACAACTGTCAGAACTGCAGTTTTCCAAACAAAAAACCACTGAAATGACAGGAACACAAACAAATTGAAGCCCCTGCTGAAAGTGCTGCAGTGGGTGGAGAGCCACTGCATGATGAGATGTCTCAGGTGCCAGGGAGAGGCCTCAGCACTATCTCTGATACCTGCAGGGGTGGTGAAAATTTGGCAGGGCAGAGCTACAAACATCAGGACCTGGGACCTGGGACCACTGAACTTGGCAGTGAGAAGTGGGCTGTGCCAGAGGGAGGGGTGGCACTCAGAAAACACAGAGATCCTTTGGCCATGAAGTGAAGACAGGAATCCCACCAACTCATCAGGTACCACAGCATTGTATTTACACAGGTTTGAACAAATTTTCTCTTCAGCTTCAACCCACTTGTTTTCCTTTCCTCAGTCATTTACTCAACATACTTAGAGCCCAACTCTTACTTTCATCTTCCTTCACCATTTTTTGGCAATCTGCATTTTTTACTCTTTATACTGAGAAAGAAACCATTAAATTGTGTATGTTTTAATACCACAAGTTACAAGTACTCTTTTTATAAGACTTTTGCTTTTTCATTATATATAGTTGACAAGCTAGTGAATACATTATTTTGGATCTGAGATTTTCAGCACTGAATGTCAGACCCAACCACCCACTAACCTTGCAGGCAATAAAACGGAGCTTTCTCAGATCAGCTGGAAGAGCTGAAGATTTTGAAATATGGTGAAGAGATGAAAAAAATCTGTAGAAAGTGCCCTTGGAAAACAACACATGAGAGACTATGGTTTCCACAGCCCTTGAGTTTTTTTGTTTCTGATTTAATGCCTATCAAAGGTCAAATAAAATCCAGTTTGAAGAAATGTTTTTAGAAAGTAAAAATTGCAGGAAAGGTCAATAAAGGAGTCTGCACAGCTGTAATGGGTCTCAAGTCTGCATATTTTGCAGGTCTTTTCTGACTAAGAGAAAATGTTTTCTATGCCAACATCTTCATCAGTTTAGCTGAGTGATACAGAAAGATTGGAACCTGTGATACCTCTGCAGCCCTCAA